TCTGGGGCAGAACAGCTACCCAGAGTACATCTCCTGTGTAGATTCTGGGGCAGACCAGGTACCCAGAGTACATCTCCTGTGTAGATTCTGGGGCAGAACAGCTACCCAGAGAATAGGTCCTGTGTAGATTCTGGGGCAGAACAGCTACCCAGAGTACATCTCCTGTGTAGATTCTGGGGCAGAACAGGTACCCAGAGTACATCTGTGTGGATTCTGGGGCAGAACAGCTACCCAGAGTATACCTCCTGTGTAGATTCTGGGGCAGAACAGCTACCCACAGTATACCTCCTGTGTGGATTCTGGGACAGAACAGGTACCCAGAGTACATCGCCTGTGTAGATTCTGGGGCAGAACAGCTACCCAGAGTATACCTCCTGTGTGGATTCTGGAGCAGACCAGATACCCAGAGAATACCTCCTGTGTGGATTCTGGGGCAGAACAGCTACCTAGAGTATACCTCCTGTGTGGATTCTGGGGCAAAACAGCTACCCAGAGTATACCTCCTGTGTGGATTCTGGAGCAGAACAGCTACCCAGAGAATACCTCCTGTGTGGATTCTGGGGCAGAACAGCTACCTAGAGTATACCTCCTGTGTGGATTCTGGGGCAAAACAGCTACCCAGAGAATACCTCCTGTGTAGATTCTGGGGCAGAACAGCTACCAAGAGTACATCTCCTGTGTGGATTCTGGGGCAGAACAGCTACCCAGAGTACATCTCCTGTATAGATTCTGGGACAAAACAGCTACCCAGAGTACATCTCCTGTGTGGATTCTGGGGCAGAACAACTACCCAGAGTACATCTCCTGTGTAGATTCTGGGGCAGAACAGCTACCCAGAGTACATCTCCTGTATAGATTCTGGGACAAAACAGCTACCCAGAGAATACGTCCTGTGTGGATTCTGGGGCAGAACAGCTACCCTGAGTACATCTCCTGTGTAGATTCTGGGGCAGAACAGCTTCCCAGAGAATAGGTCCTGTGTAGATTCTGGGGAAGAACAACTACCCAGAGTACATCTCCTGTGTAGATTCTGGGGCAGAACAGCTATCCAGAGTACATCTCCTGTGTAGATTCTTGGGCAGAACAGCTACCCAGAGTATACGTCCTGTGTAGATTCTGGGGCAGAACAGCTACCCAGAGTATACATCCAGTGTGGATTCTGGGGAAGAACAGCTTCCCAGAGTATATCTGCTGTGTGGATTCTGGGGCAGAACAGCTACCCAGAGTACATCTCCTGTTTAGATTCTGGGGCAGAACAGCTACCCACAGTATACATCCTGTGTGGATTCTGGAACAGAACAGCTACCCAGAGTATACGTCCTGTGTAGATTCTGGGGCAGAACAGCTACCCACAGTATATCTGCTGTGTGGATTCTGGGGCAGAACAGCTACCTAGAGTATACGTCCTGTGTGGGTTCTGGGGCAGAACAGCTACCCAGAGTATATGTCCTGTGTGGATTCTGGGGCAGAACAGCTACCCAGAGTATACGTCCTGTGTGGATTCTTGGGCAGAACAGCTACCCAGAGTACATCTCCTGTGTGGATTCTGGGGCAGAACAGCTACCCAGAGTGCATCTCCTGTGTGGATTCTTGGGCAGAACGGCTACCGAGAGTATACCTCCTGTGTAGATTCTGGGGCAGAACAGCTACCCAGAGTACATCTCCTGTGTGGATTCTTTGGCAGAACAGCTACCCAGAGTACATCTCCTGTATAGATTCTGGGACAAAACAGCTACCCAGAGTACATCTCCTGTGTGGATTCTGGGGCAGAACAACTACCCAGAGTACATCTCCTGTGTAGATTCTGGGGCAGAACAGCTACCCAGAGTACATCTCCTGTATAGATTCTGGGACAAAACAGCTACCCAGAGAATACGTCCTGTGTGGATTCTGGGGCAGAACAGCTACCCTGAGTACATCTCCTGTGTAGATTCTGGGGCAGAACAGCTACCCAGAGAATAGGTCCTGTGTAGATTCTGGGGAAGAAGAACTACCCAGAGTACATCTCCTGTGTAGATTCTGGGGCAGAACAGCTATCCAGAGTACATCTCCTGTGTAGATTCTTGGGCAGAACAGCTACCCAGAGTATACGTCCTGTGTAGATTCTGGGGCAGAACAGCTACCCAGAGTATACATCCAGTGTGGATTCTGGGGAAGAACAGCTTCCCAGAGAATAGGTCCTGTGTAGATTCTGGGGAAGAAGAACTACCCAGAGTACATCTCCTTTGTAGATTCTGGGGCAGAACAGCTATCCAGAGTACATCTCCTGTGTAGATTCTGGGGCAGAACAGCTACCCAGAGTATACGTCCTGTGTAGATTCTGGGGCAGAACAGCTACCCAGAGTATACATCCAGTGTGGATTCTGGGGAAGAACAGCTTCCCAGAGTATATCTGCTGTGTGGATTCTGGGGCAGAACAGCTACCCAGAGTACATCTCCTGTTTAGATTCTGGGGCAGAACAGCTACCCACAGTATACGTCCTGTGTGGATTCTGGGGCAGAACAGCTACCCAGAGTATACGTCCTGTGTAGATTCTGGGGCAGAACAGCTACCCAGAGTATATCTGCTGTGTGGATTCTGGGGCAGAACAGCTACCTAGAGTATACGTCCTGTGTGGATTCTGGGGCAGAACAGCTACCCAGAGGGCATCTCCTGTGTGAATTCTGGGGCTGAACAGCTACCCAGAGTATACGTCTTGTGTAGATTCTGGGGCAGAACAGGTACCCAGAGTATACGTCCTGTGTGGATTCTGGGGCAGAACAGGTACCAGAGTACATCTCCTGTGTAGATTCTGGGGCAGAACAGGTACCCAGAGTACATCTCCTGTGTGGATTCTGTGGCAGAACAGCTACCCAGAGTATATCTCCTGTGTAGAGTATATCTCCATGGATCAATGTTCATGATGTCAACCACTGGATTGTCTGTGAACCTGTGGCAGTTACATGTGTCAGTCATAAATGATCAACTGGCCGATCATTGAAAGGTGAATATAAAGATGTGTCAATCACTGGATTGTCTGGTCCAGACTTGATTATTTACATATCGCCGTCAAATAGATTGAATATTACTGAGTGCAATGTTAAACAACAAACAGACAAACAAACAAAACAAACCAAGTTCCACCATCAGTGAAGACGAAGTTCAGGTGGAACCCAAGTACAAGACATCAAAATGGCCGACACGATAAACATGATTGGAGAGATTTCCGAACTTGTTAATGAACCTGTGACAGTTACATGTGTCAGTCATCATTGATCAATTGGCTGATCATTGAAAGGTGAATATTAAGATGTGTCAAATAGACACTAAGGTAAATTCACAGATTGTTGTAGACTGTCACTGTCAGTCTAGAAACTGATTGAGTCGATACTGCGATAGTTTGGATGTCCTGCATTTCTTCGTTTGGTTCACTTATATTCATGAAGGATATTCATGAGCGATCATTAAGTCTAACACTCTGAGGTTTCTCAATGTATTCTAAAACACTAAGTCCAACATTAAAGGGTATAAATGATCAGAAACAACGCTTCTGTATGTATTCGTGAAAGGGAATTGCCGAGGATCCCCAAGGAATTGTGAACACCATATGAACGCCAAATTGTACCATTTATACACTTGTGCACTTCAGTTTCGCAGTCATATGACCGACCTCTCATCCAAAGGAAAAGCCTTATATCGTGTAAACTTCACACTAAAACATTATTGCTGATAAAACTGGCCTTGATACTAACTATTTTATATTCTTGGAGCAAGAGGCCCTGAAATTTTCTTATTTTCCTGTAAAACGGATTGAAACATGTGTCCTTTGGTTTAACTAAAAAAAATAATTTGCTTGTAGGACATGCTGGTCGTCCTATAGTTTTAGAATTTTATTTTAAATCCAGGGGCTTCTCCGGTCATAGAACAAAATTACATGTTTTGAAACAATGACTGAAAAAAAACTATCCTCAATCTCAAACAAAATCTGTGTCTCATCCCGCACCAATCAATATCAAATTGTTGGGGCCTTTATTAATCCCAAATTCACATGATCACCTCAACATTGCTTCAAGACAGAATTGATGAAAAAGATGGATTTGGGGTGTGATATAGTAAATGAACATTTGTATCTAAATTACGGTAACCCGTAAAAGTAGTCATTATTTCATTCTGGAAAAGAAATATTTCCGATCCAGTAAAATGTTTTTAGAGGTAAAACAAGGCCAAAGCGTCACTGGTAACAGCCATGGAATTCTAGGTGTGATTTAATCTGTAAGCTATCTGGTCACACTCTTTCATGCTTGAAAATAAAACATTTCACATCCATAGAAAAATCCAACATATTTAAGAAAGAGGCAAACTATGATTAAAATTAATTCCTATTCCAGCTCAACTCCTTAACACTGATCTGTCTTCAAGCACCCAGAAAACCTTGTTCTTCAGTATATGATAAGATATGCTTCTGATTTGGGGCTAGACTAGCTTCTTGTCTCTGAAAATATTTAATTTGAGAGAAACAAGCAACTAAATAGAAAAGAATCCTCAGTGAGATGGGAGTTTCTTGAACCTGAGGAAAATCTAGACTTGTTTCATTTAGACTACATGTATAGCACCACAGTAATAGCTAGGTGGGAAAGAAAATAACATGGTCTAAGGACTGTATATTCCAATCCTGCATGTGCAATTTAGAACAGGAAAAGCATGTCAATCAATCCATAGTCTAGACAGGAGCAAGTTCCATTTCAGTATAATACAGTAATACCACATAATATTAAAACAAGAACACACAACAAAACAATAAAACAAGAAAACTGATTCCAACACTGATCCGAAACAGTCATACAATAGTGTGCCCCAGAGGTTTTATGATTTGGGAACACACCATGCATGAGGGGAAAATACAGCTCATATTTTTTAATTTATTTTTTTAATTCACATCAGAAATGATGCTTCTAGTCTAACCACCAGCTGTCCAGGCAGAGTTTTAGTTTACGATCAAGACAGGAAGCCTAGTACTCACCATTGCCTGATTTCTCCTTCAGAAACTGGAACAAAAAATGAAATGAATTAAACATGTGTCTTATCCACTTTCAATTACTATAACTAAGCCATTGGCTATATTTAATCTATGTTTATTCAGAGCCTTGTCCCTGTTTATAAACAGCTGAAAAGCAGCCAGGGGAATGTTTGTCAGTTATAGTAATTCATTAGAATGTTATGTCTTGTTTGTTTGTTGTTTAACGCCACACTCAGCAATATTCCAGCTCTATGACGGTGGTCTGTAAATAATCTAATCTGGACCAGACCATCCAGTGATTGACATCATGAGCATCGATCAAGGCAATTGGGATACGATGACATGCATCAACCAAGTCAGCAAGCCGGACCACCCAATCCCGTTAGTCGCCTCTTACGACAAGCATGGACTGCTGAAGGCAGATTCTAACCTGGATCTTCATGTGTCTGGAATGTTATGTGAATACAAGTATACAGTTTGATTTCTCATGTCAAGCTATTCCTGAGAGCTCACAGATTTTATCTTATCATATGCATGCTTGAAACAAGGACGGATGGGTTAGAGCATTGAGGTCATCACACAAATGTAACCAAGATAACACATTGGTTTCCGAGGAGATGGTGAAAAAGCAATAACTGACATAATACATGGAGGACAGTATATAATCAGAGCATATGAGCCATAACACATCAAAAACACAAAACATAACGATTCAAATGAATTGCAAAGAGAAATCTCACATGTACATTAATAAGATACATACTTTAGATCAAAGTAGCTTACCGTATTCGACGTAATAAGCGTCCCGCTCTAATAAGCACCCACAGCGATAATTGCTGACATATTGGCTGGTGAACAATCCCAATTAGCACCCCTTCCAATTGATCAATGTACACAAGACTTATTTTTTCGCGTATAATACGCAGTCGTGTGATATATGCACCCTTAATTATGGGCAATTAAATTCTGGAAAAATATATCTGTCGTATATAAACATTTCAGGCTGTCAGCATAAACCATGAAATTTATCTTTCAACTCTGTTTTTTCCACCAAAATAATATTCTAATAAGAGCCCCCTATTTCTAATATTGAGAGCGCCCTGGGCATTTATTGCGTCAAATACGGTATATTTCACAAGTAACAAAAACTGTAATTTTAGCGATTCTGATTTTAGACATTTAACTTGGTATTGAAAAATGGCATCTTTTCTTCATTATTTCAAACACAAAACAAAAACATTTGTTTTTGATGCAGAAGTACATATCAAAGCCTTCGATGATACAAACTCTCACAACCCTAAAATGAAAGCAAGTGCTCCATTTCTATTTTGCTTCCACAATTTGATTACCATACAAGTGAACGCAGAATCTAATAACTCGGACACAGAATTGACGTGTGTCATCTCTACCTCAAATATTTCTACAGGAGCCTGTCGGCCTGCACTGTTTAATAATAACAGTTGTAGTTCTCTGAGCGTACCACCCAGAGGAGAGACAAATTACAATAATAAATCGTAATGCAATTCTCATGACTGATGTAATATGCTGAGAACTGGTCCTTGCATCCTAAAGTCCTTGTTTACGTCCCTGAATCAGTGGGGAAAGTGACCAATATAACTCTGACGTATCTAACACATAGAAAAACAGCTTAACTTAATATAATGACAAGGAAAAATGTCCCTGACATACCTATTGTATGACGCATTATAAAAATGAGCTCTTATATATGGCTGTTTGAATAAGGAACAGTGGCAAGGTACAGGATAAATGAAAACATTGATGCATGTTTCCTACAAGGCACTGATCAATATATATATTTTCAATATACCGTATTCAACGTAATAAGCGCTCATGGCGCTCTCAAAATTAGAAAAAGGGGGCTCTTATTAGAATATAGTTTTGGTAAGAAATAAAACAGAGTTGAAAGATCGTTAATATTGTGGTTTATGCTGACAGTCTAATATGATACAAAAGAAAAGTCTGTGCGTATTATACACGACATATATTTTCTAGAATTTAAATGCCCATAATTAATGATGCATATAACACACGAGTGCGTATTATGCATGAATAAACAAGTCTTGTGTACACTGGTCAATCGGAAAAGGTGCTAATTGGGATTGTTCACTAGCCAATACATTAGCAAATATTGCCGTGGGTCTTTATTATGCCGAATACGGTATATACAGCTACGTACTCTTGTGGACAAAGTATCTGTTTGTTAGTATGTTGCCCAATTTAGCATTAGGAATATTTAGCTATTTCCCAGGTGCTATTCGTTCATCATGACTGTGGAATATCTAATTTAATCTTACCAAAGCCAATCTAGATTATAAATACAGGCAAGTCTATCTAATTTGTTTGAGCACATTAGAAAGTGGAAACTTTGAATAAGTCTGGTTTGGATGGGATTGTCCTTGAGGTCACATGACACCTTATCGCAATTATAAGTCAATAAGAATCTAGGGGGGACTTTGCTGTTGTCAATTGTTGCTGGTGGCTGACAGTAAAAATTGATGTCAGTAAGGATAGGCAATATCACCTTGTATTTCATTGTATTCAATGTCCTATTTTCGTTGAGGCAGTGGTGTAGACTAGTAGCTCGTCATGCCTGAGACCTGGGTACAATGTGTGAAGCCAATTTCTGGTGTCCCCCGCCGTCATATTGCTGGAATATTGCTAAAAATGGCGTAGAAACCATACTCACTATTATTTCTTTTATCTCTATCATGTTCATGTGATTCTCAGTTTGGGGGGAGCTGCCAGGCTGTGTGAGGCATCCCTCCTACATTAAGCCTGCTTGTTAAGTATAAGTGTAGCTATGTATTACCTATTTTGCCCTTCTATAACCCATACAGGTTCCTTATATCTTGTATTGTATTGTTCTGTTCTTTGACTTGTAAAAAATATTCATGTTAACATCGAGTTGTGATTTAAACAATATTAGAAGAGAGAAATGTATTGTGTAATTTAAGATTTCATAGACTGTATGTTTGTCAGTGGTGAGAACATTATGATCAAGTCTGGACCAGACAAACCAGTGACTGAAAGCATGAGCAACAAGCCACATCATCAGGGCAAGACGACACTCACCCACGCCATCAAGCCTGACTGTAAACAAGATTTGGTTCTGTGACTATATAAGTTCTGGCGGGAACTTCTACTCCAAACATTTGTTCCTTTGGAGGTGCAAATAATGTCAAGTTTTGGTTCCTATCATACTGAAATTTGTTCCAGCCATACAGGAACCTTCACACACATACCCGGTATGTTTTAGTTTGTGAAACAGTCAAGTGTCTTAAAGAGGGTTTTTTATGGGGCTATAATAAAAATTGGGGCTTGGTTATTTTGGGGGGAGGGGAAAGAGAGTTTTTTCAAGGAATCAATAGCGGTGGTATGCCCGTGGTTGCTGTAAATAACGGCGAGTTGTGCGATCTTCCGATCACTTCACATACGATTTTGCAGAAATGAAAATAAACAATATTGAGTGAAATTTTGAATAAAATTAATAAAATAGATTACAAAGGTGTTATGTAGTTGCTTGTTTATAAGCTTGATGAACGGTAAACCATGACATGTTTTAGTTCATAGGCGATGGTCGCCATGCTTTTATTACTAGCGCCAAAACAGTTCGGACAAAAGTGGCATTGGCACTTTAGACGAGACGGGATTTACATATAAACGAAATAAGATTGTTAATACATCTTACAACAAAAGGTAAGTCCAGATATGTAATGAACTGTTTTTATAACCAGACAGTGTAATTACATGATTAGTTTGCAGACTTAATTACGGATTTGCTGACATGGTATTTCCGGTGTTACATGCTCACAGTTATGTCTATGTTGGGGGGAGAAAACATCAAAAACATCAAAACTCTTCAACCCTGTGTATAAGACGAACCCCCTTGAAAGCCCCCTATTTCGAGGTACAAAAAACAGCAATATACGGTACATGAATCTTAAGCATGGAACAAATACTTGCAACATTTTTGTTCCGGTTGGAACAAATAGTGTATGTGTGAAAATTCCTATTTGACAATTCGGTTAACATTTCTGATAAAATTAACCGGAACTTTTCTCTACAGGGTGGGAACATTATCACAGCAATTTTTTTCATTTATTCCTGATATTTGTTCCAAGCCGGAACTAAAATGGGATGAACAAAAACATGCTTACATGACTACTCGATCCACATCGTCACCTTATACAACTAGCCTATTCTACCCCTGAATCCCCACAGAGGATGAAGCATTTGAGTTGGTGACTATCCAAACTATGTAACAGCAATCTTAAAACGTAGTTAGCAGTAATCTTGCTGCGATATAAATAGCAGTCTTTAATCAACTCTGACTTTTAATGATAAAACATTCTTTTTAAGTGACCAAAAGCAAATTTCATGCAGATTTCATCCATGTGTGCTAAACCTGATAAATACGATGCTAATGTCAATTCTTTTTCTAAAATGTCTATATGGTGAGTAACTTCCAAATATACACCCTCATTGTAAAGTGTATACACTTGGCTCACATGTAAATGAGAATGCCTGGCATATCACAGAGTACTTGAGTCATCTCATACACTTCACACAAACAATAACAAAGTTACATGTAGAAGGAACATAAAATGGCCAACAGATATCCTTAAAGAGAGGAACACACCAACACCACATCTGAAATTTGGATGACTAACTTGTTGTCGGCACAGGTACTATAAAAATGTACCTCAAGTGTATAAATACAATCGCTTGCGCAATTGAAAATTTACACAACAGAATTCCACCAGCCTGAACATAACTGTGTTAGGATCAGACAATCCAGTGATTGACTTTATGAGTAACGTAAATGCTCTGAGTCAAATGTCACATAATGAATTACAAGGTTTTTTCAGGAAACACACCCTAACCTCATTTGAACCTTGACCTCATTTGAACCCTGAAGTACAACTTGTTGCAAAAAACGAATATCATAAAATTCTTGAATAGCAGCAGGCACCCGATCAACACTATCCTGACGTGTAAACAAACTTT